CTGGGTCTCGCCAATCTTCATCTTCTTGAGGGTGGCGTCGGGCTCGTCGCGGGGTCGTTTGCGGGAGTCGCGGGGGCTGGGCATGCTGCGGGCGATCTCGGCCTGTTGGGTGCCCAGGTCGACGAGGAGGGTGGTGATCTGGGGCTGGAAGTCCCCCGAGGACGGGTGCCGCAGGACGCTCAGGAGGTGCAGCTTGAGGTTCTTACGGACGCTGCTCACCTGCGACTTGGCCAGGGTGGGGGGCAGGTTGGCTGCAAAAGAGGGGACACCCCCCCGCCCCCCGTGTTAGGGACGCCTGGGGACACGGGACGCCCAGGTCCACGGGGACATGGGACACCGTGGTTTGGGTGGCAACAGGGTCCGCTGCCTTCAAGAGGGTGGGGGCGAGGCTGGGTCCTCAGTCGAGATGGAAGGCGGGTGCTCGGGAACCGGGACCGAGGATGTTTGGGTCCCCAGCCCCACGGGAGGCGGCCGTGGGGACCTCGGGGATCCAGGACTCCCCAGGGGAGCGGGAGGAGCCCGGGACCCCCTCACCCCGTACAGCCCGCGAGCGCTGCGGGGACCGGTCGGCGCCGGGGACGCTCTGTTCCCACGGGTGACGGTGACACCCGGTGAGGCGGCGTTTACCGTGGAGGGTCTCGTAGGCTTGGATGACCTCGGCCATGAACATGGGCCGCTGGCGGGCGATGGTGGCCAGGGAACCCAAGGCGGCCGTCAGGTTGATGCTGGAGATGGCCGGGTGCACCATGAACTTGAGGAGCTGCTCCAGGGCGGCCTTGCCTTCCTCCCACAGCACGTCTGCGGGGACACGGGGGACGCTCAGCCGGGTGTCCCCCCCTCTTGGAGGTGACCCCACCGCCCCGCGCCCGCCGGCCTCACTGTATTTGATGTAGGGGTGGTCCTTGGGGATGCGTTCGAGGCTGATGTCGTTCTCGTGACGTTTGGGGACGTCCGAGTCGGCCATGCGGGGCGAGAGGGTGATGATGAGCCCCTCCACGAACTTGATGGCGTGGGTGCGGATGCCGTCGTTGTCCGAGTCGAGGAGGAGGATGATGTCGCTGGCCATGGCCGCCATCATCTCCCAGCAAGCCTCCTGCAGCTCGCTGATCACCTTCGACTTCACCATCCACTGCGGGCAGGGAGGGGTTAAACCTCGCCGGCTGGTTCCCCCGGCACCCATGGGTGCCCCCTGCCAGCACCCAGGGGTGCCTCACCTGCAGGGCCACCTTGTAGAGCTGGGTCATGGTGAGGATGGCCTTCTTCACCACGTTGACGTTCTCGTCCTTCAGCAGCATGTTGAGGTTGGCAATGAGCTTCAGCAGCAGCTCGATGTCCCGCTTGCTGGGGGCGGGGGGACAC